AAGAGTAGGATGCAACAGAAATGCACTCTTCTGACGCACAGTGTTTGTAGGATGACCCCTGCGTTCCCGGTCATTCTTCCTGCTGCTGTCATCTCCTCTTCACAGTGTCCTCCTGGGCATGGGAAGAAGGAAGCGGCCTCTACACGCGCATGTCCCTTAGCGCTGCGTCGGTGGACTGTGGTGCCATATGTACTGGGGAGGCTTAGCGTCTGGAGATGAAGGTGTGGAGTGGGACTGGCTGAGTTTTCTTGTCTGTCTCTGAACTCATGTGCCCTGACTTGGGGTGATGTTGAATTTGGGAGTTGCTGAGTATCGATGCATCCTACTGGCAGAGTACTGAACTGGAGTGCAGTAAGTATGCAGTCAGTTGTGGTTTGCAAGGCAGGGCACTGCTCTGTGCCTCAGCTTCCCTCTTGGTAAGTGGGACTGATGTTTCTTCATCTGTAGTGTTTAGGAGACCTCCTAGTGTAAAGCACTGAGAGTTAGGTCTCCATAGTACTGGCTGAACTGAAGAAGTCTCTTCTCTACTGCAGAGTAGATTCCTGAATCTTTGTTTGGGAAGGAGCTGGCAAGAGCTGTGCTTACCGGATCCCTTTGACTTGAGAGGCTGCGACTGATCGCACTCTGTTTTGCCTGTCAGAGTCATCCACTGCTCTCCATCGGTTACTGAGCAGTAGAGCCCACAGGCACATGGCTGCCTCCAGCCCTCAAAGACTGTTCTCCTGATGTCCATCCACTGGAGTGCCTTGTTCTACAGGAGGACAGTAGCAAGTTAAGGTCTCTTAAGGACGTCTACTTTCATTCCTCTGCCTCAGACTGCTTCTGATAAAAGCAGTGGGGAGATCTGTGGCCTACACACAACTTGATGTGTTTTGCCCATGAGTTTCCCCACCACTTTTACGGTGGGGTGCGCTGCCTGAGGACAGAGGCCGTACAGGACAAAAACAGTGGCGCCAACAGCACCCAATCTGGTGCTGAAATCTGAGCCACTGGTATGTGCTCAGTGCTGGAGGCTGAGGGAGATCTGGGCAGGGGTGGAATCGTATCCTCTCTGCTGTGGCGCAATCCTTAACAAACTGAGGCTTGTGATCTCTGCACAAGTAACGAGACATCTTCTATTTATTCCTCACTGCCCTCCATCTGCCTGCACTTGCACTCCTGCCAGGTACCCTCTACTCTCACTGGCTCAGGCTTCTCATTTCACTCACCAGCTTCTGCTCTCAGTGTCTCCCTCCATCTGAACAGACCCATTGCCTTGCTGCTCCTGGATGGGACATGCTGGCAGGAGACACAGGCAGGGCCGCTGAGGTTTGTTCCTGACCCCTCCATGCTTCATGTGTCTCTCAGCAAAGCAGTGCTTGAAACACCTCAAGCCTTTCCTGCCGTTCTTCCTCATCAGTGGCATGATAGCAGCGTTGTACTTCATCCTTGATGCCATTGTCCACAGCGGCCCCTTCACTGATGAGCAATTCTTCGAGAAGTTTGAGCGCCGGTGGCCTAAACCCCTGGCCTCCAACAAAAACAGCTCTGCTTGATGGTCTGCTGGATCTGTGAAAAGGGGACTGGGAGCAGCTGGAGAAGAGACTCGCAGAGAGTTTCTGGGAGACGCTTCATTCTCCCTGTGTGGATGGACTGTTTTCCTCACTCTGCATGGATCAAATGGTGACGTGTGGCTTTAGCATGTGAGGTAGCAGCCTAGAGGGGACAGAGGGATGAGGGAGATTATGGGTGAGACATGTCTATGTGTGGAAAGAGGTTGCTGTAATGGGGCAGTTGGAGACCTTGAAGGAACAATAGGCTCTTCTGATCATCTGGTCTCACCTCCTCTGTAGCATAGACCAGTGAGTCTCTGCCACCATTGGTTCTTGAGTGGTATCAGTTAAAGAGATGTTTTTGAGCTGTGTTTGTGTCTATGAAGGTAGGTGAGTACGTAGAGGCTTGTTGCTTGAATGCTTTCTAAAACAGCTGTAATCTTCTGGTGAGTCTATGTTAGTTATCTCTCTTTTGTAGTCAACCCGAGAGCAGATGAGTGTCATGGTGATGCACTTAGCTCTGTAAGTCCGTGTTTTAGTCTGTTGGATGGTTGTTTTCATATGATGCCTTGTCATCCTCCTGTCATGTGCCAGGGCTGTCCTGTGGTATCCCACAGTGATGCTGCAGTGAGTAGATTAGTCTGTTTTGTGATGGACTACACATTTAGTAGGGCTTTTGCATGCAGTTCTAGAAGCTTTTGGGAGCAGAATGATGAGAGATTAAAATCTGTGCATTCAGAAGCCTCTGAATATATGTTTAGAAGTACCTGCTCTTCACTCTCAGGCATCTCATCAGCCTGTGTGTTGTCTAACTTCATGCTTTCAGGGTAAAGTACGAAGATCCCCAAGCCTCCAAAGGACTCACTGGTGCCCTGGATGCCCGGCAGCAGCACACAGGAACAGTAAGTAGCCGCAGAGCTTTTAGTGCATCACCAGGAATGAGGATATCCTCCTTGCTCACCAACACAATAAATGTGCTGTCTCTTTGAAAAAATCATGTGTTTAACATGACTAATGATAACTCCCAGTCTCCACCAACCTGCATTTTCTACTGGGGCTCTGTACCTTAGTCTTTAAACCCCAGAGGTGGGGAACCATGGAAAGTCTGGGGTTGACTCAGTCAGTAACAGGATGGCCTCCTTATATCTGCAGGGAAATTTCCACCTGGAAATGTATGTTTTATTCCTCCTCAGCAGGTTTCCAAGTCCAGTTGCCTTCTCTCTGCAATCAAAGAAGTAGGCCACCAGTACTAATGTGTTCTTGCCCTCACCATAAACCCACTGCCCCCCCTCTCTCTCACCCTCTTTGATAGCAGCTTTCAGTGCAGACTCTCTCTTGACCAGGGGGAGTCTGGTGCCTCTAGTGATGGAGCCCAACTAACTAAGTGGATGATGCGGCAAGGAATGGTGAGATTGTGGAGCGCCAGCAGGGAGGAAGGAGGCTGGGGCTGCTGAACTAGAAGTGGCGCTGGCACAGCACATGAGGATGTGTGGCAGACATCAGCAGAGACTGCAAACTGAAAAGGAGCAACCCTGGTCTGCACCTGTAGTGGAGACCAGGGTTGGGAAGGAAGCAGGCAGAGTGTCAGTCCTTCCTCAAGTAAATACATCTGTAGGAAAAAGTCCTATGAGCTCTGAGGTCAAGAGAGCACATGCCACTCTTTGAGTGAGAGGATGGCCTGATTTTGGGTGGGTATCTGGGGCAGAGGCACTAGTTGGTGGCATCATGAGGAAGGCTGCTGCCATTCATTCCCCCTGCAGCCTCTCCTGCTCAGCATGAGCTGCCCCATTTAGAGGAAAACACATTCTGGCTTTTACCCTGTTCAAGGAAGGCTAAAGTGTTTGAGCCTTCAGGCTGTTGAATTTAGTCTGGAATTCCTGCAATTACATCCTCTCAGGCACACTGAGGCTTTGACAAACTCCAAGGTGTGAAGCTTGTTAGCCTGTCTTCCTAAAATGGGCAATGCCCAGGCTGATGTCTGCTCTAGGAAGTTTCCCCACATGCTGTCCAGTTGGCTTGAATGCACTTCTACCCCAGAGTTCCTCTCTGGGTAATCAAAGCCGGTTCACGTCCAAACTTCCTTAATCTCACACATCCTCTTCCATCCCCCTTCATCCGTCTGCCAGCTGTGGTAACTATCCACACTTGCTCTCTCTCTGGTTTGGGGAAATCTGCCTGTCCTTGGTAAGAAGGTGTTGCTCTTTTTCTTGGTCTTGCTGCTTTCCTGAGAGCAAGGGAGCTCTACCTATTAGGAAACTGATAAAAAATTCCCACAAAAACTCTCTCACGCTTCTGCTTGCGGAGCCTCTAGCAAGGACCGCTCCTTGCTCAGCTTTGTTCAGGAGCTCAGGACTGGAGAAAAGGATCTGGGGTTTTGAATCAGACTTGGTTTACTTCAAGGTTATCTCTGTCACTAGGAAGGTCTCTCTTTGCTGCTAAAATTGGCCAGAGACATGAAGTCTGAGCTAGCCTTGTCCCTACTGGAAGTAAAATTTATTTCAATTGTAGAAGAATTCCTCTTTGATGGGTCTGTTTCTGTAGTTTGGTGTAATGTCAAATCCTGCTGTGCTCCATGATCCTACCAAGGAATCACTTCTTGGCAGGTGTCTTTCCCCCTTAATGTGGTGCCAAACCTGGCACATCCGATATCTTCAGCATCGCAGACTCTGACGTCAGACTGTCACTGGTTTGTAGAAGGGAAGAGGTGTGGAGAAAAGCACATCTCTTGTTCTCTGGCTGCCTAACACAAGCAGCCAACTTCCACCTAGTGAGTCCTCACCAAAATGGAAAGCCTTGTCCAGTCCTAATACCCCAAAGCCAACCAGCAAACCCCAGATTCTTTTAATGGCATGTATCCTGAAAACTATGCGTGTCTGGGTGTGGATGGGGCAGAGGAAGCAGGTGAGCAGTGACATTGGTAGCTGGGAGAGCTTTGCAGTGGCACTGGCCGGATTTGGAAGGGCCTGAGCTAATGAACACTGGAGTGAGAGGGTTGGGCTTTCTTTTTGCAGAGTGGGGTTCCTGGAACATTCTCTTTTTTCTTGGCCTCATCGCTCTTTTTCCTTCTGTCCTAGGTGCCAGTTCCCCAAGCAAATTTCATGGAAGACATAGAAAAGTGGCTCTCCACTGATGTGGTAAGTGAGGGGCTGCTTTCCTGGAGACAGCAGTCCTGCCAGATTTGTCTGTGGGGCTGGATTTTAGGCAGTGTAAAATAGTGCTGGCACTGCTGAATGTGTAGCACAGGCTGCTCGGAGGGAGCAAGGGAGGAAAAGCCAAGGGCGCAGGGTTTGGGATACCAGAACAGTATCATTAGCCTTCTGGGAGGCATAGCTAATGAACCGAGCCTCAGGGCCACCCTGACACGTCTGTACTGTGGAAGTGTCGGGAGCATTATCCTCTCTCTCTCTGTGCAGACAAAGAATCACATCTGTGGAGATGCCTTTGTCTACCTTGCTTCTAACCATGCCCTTCTTCTTCTTCCCTAGGGAGAGGCAGAGGATGCAAAAGGTGTCACCAGTGAAGGTAAAACTTGCCAGCCATCCCCTTTCTCCAGCTGTTCCTGGTAGCACCTTGGCTTTTCCACAAACCTCCCTCCTTGCTA